GTGTAGCAGGAGGAAAGGAAGGTCTATATGCGAGTCAATTTGTCTAAGCATGTATTGGTTATGGTTACACCTACAGTATGTATATACATTTAAGTAATATTTCACTCAGTTTTGTTGCATAAATCCAAAAACCTATTTCCTAAAACTATATCCTAATTTTACAATAGTAAATCCAAACTCAAAAATTTAAATTATAAACCTTTTGAAAAACAATTGCGGTATTTTTAGAACATTGAATAAAAATAGTGGTATTTTTGAAAACAAAACTTTTAAAGTAGAGTAGGATGCACCAAATTGAGGCAAAGTCTCAACTAAAACCACAAGTGGCAAACATCATTCACTATCTGCTCTGTTTCAGAATGATTATCTTCTAACAAAAGCAACGTCAAAGGTGTTTTCATCTAGCTTACAACATGACGCTCTGAAACAAGCAACGGAGAAAGGAGGCTAACAGCAAKAAGATAAAAAAAAAAAAAAAGTAACCTAAACCGATTTCTTTATTGTATATTAGAGGAATGATAATAGATGAAACAACTGAAATAAAAAGCCAACGAATGAGAAACAAAAGCAAAGTATGGTAAATGAACTAATAATTATGTCTATCTTTCCTTTTACCAAGCTGGTTGATTGATTTGCTTTGCAGTTGCACTAAGCTCGGGGCGTAAGAAGAGCAGACGAGTGGGCGAGAGTAAACGTACTCGTTATATAGCTTGTCAGGTTTCCCGAGGTCCGGAGCTTCTCCGAGGTTAACAGATTTGAAGTAGCCATCTTGTCCAATGATGTAAGCTGTTTTGTTGGGACGGGGATGGGGCCGTTTATATCCGTCTATATCAAAAAACCACAGCGAGTTTCGCGTCTTGGTCGATGAAGAAGCTCCCAGCTTCAACCTCAAACTGAAAGCGAGTGAGTGGTCTCATATCCACTTTCAAAAACTTGGTCCACGAGACCGCAGTGGTGGGCTCAATCTTAGTGGTAACCCAAATCTCCGACATCTCACATGACTCCAAACGCTGATGTAACACGGCAAGCTGCTCCTCATCATCTCTAACGCAAGATAGAGTCACAGTTTCTAAAACGTAAGAGTGGAATGGAAGAGGAAGACGCAGGCCAAACCTCTCTGCTGTGAAATCAAAACAGAGTAGAAAATCTTCAATCTCTGATATCTGTACTTCTTCATCTTCTTCCGAAGTGGTTTTCTCTTGAGCGAAAAAGTAGGTATTTCCTTTCCGTTGATAAAACTGTATATCCCAGTCGGGAGTGACGTCGAGGACCCTCCATGAATCAGAGCTAAAGTTGTAGATTTCACACCCAAAAAGGTGGTGGTTTTCACAGAGGTAGTCATCCAAGAACTTCAAGATTTTGTGATTACGGATTCCAGACCACGACGCTCGAGTTGTCCTTGACGACGCATAACAACAAGCCATCACAGTGAAAGACTTTAGATACCTCGATTTGATCAAGAAAATTACCTACAATTGCTGTATAGATGGATCAACAAAGTCCCGGTCCTTGTCCTTGTGGATGATGTCTTGGAGATCGAAATTCACTGAACAGACCCTGTAATCCATCATCATGAATCCGAGAAACTGCTGTTGCTCTACAAACAATCCAATCTTTGGACAGAGCGTTCCACTTTCTGCAAGTACACCGCACTGCTCTCAAACATGTCATCGGAACCCTAGAAAGTATCTCCCCTACCAATTTTGGTGAAAGATCGGACATGGTCTTCATTCTTTCAAACCTTGGACAAAGACACAAGCAAGCAAACGGCTGCAATACAAATTAGGTTTTCACTTATGAAGCTTTTTTTTTTCTTTTGTGATTTATGAAGCTTTCTTTGTATATAGACACTAGATTTTTAACCCGCGCATGTGCGGATTATCACGTTTTAATTATGTTTAACATAGTACAAAGTGCAAATATGAAACTGAAAACATCCTAGCTATCTCTTTGATGCGTTCTTTTGCTCATGCCGCTTTGTTGTTTTGTCCAATGGCTTCTAACTTGAGKTTTTTCCCTTTCTTGTCAAAGTTGTTGCAAGTGTTTGTGTTGTCGATACTAACCCTCTGTAAATGATTATTGAGTGACAAGAGGATTCTCACTTGGTCTTATATATTTCATTAGATAATATAAAYCTTGTACATTRTTATTTGGCAACTTGGTCGGACTACTAATAGGTCCATTCACTATGCCTGCCACAGAGAAAGTCTTCTCCTTTACTTTGAAATCAAACTTTGTTAGGTTTAGCTGGAATATATATTTTCCCCAATACGGTCTTGTAAGCATGGAAGAAGTTCCTTTAGATTGTCATAAGAAAGAGTTAAGCCCTGCGAGAGAATTTGTTTTAAATACAGACTTAACATTTAGTAATGTTGCAAATTCCACATGCAAAACAATAAGATACCTTAAAATGTGATCAAATCTTCAGCCAATATGTTAGTCAATTTTCTTGCATCTCTGTCAAAGATTACAAATCTTCTTTGATCCGTCTCATCATCAACAATGACTGCAAGCCGAAACCTGTAAGGATTTTAAACGTTTCATTTTACAAATGAATGGCAGAATTAACATTTTCAATAATCCAGTAAAGTATTCATTCTTTACCTGACCACACCGATAAAACTGGAATCGTCACAAAAGCGACAAATCAATTTATCATCCAACGGCTTGATACTGTTGTAGCATTTTGCGCATGAGATATTGTACCATCCATTTCGAGTTATGATATCAACTATTCTGGCAGAGCAGAGAAATTCTTTTTCGTGCAAAAATTTTACATTAATTTAAAAGTAAAATAGGCAAATTCTGTTAGTAGAAAAAAAAATAGTGTAACCTAAGGTTCAACAACATCTAAAAATGATAACATCTGCGAAATGGTCTTCAATGAGGAGCTTTATTCATTTAACTCATGTTCTTGTAGTGAAGAACTCTGAATATCTTCAGATTCGTGTTTGAATAGATTTTTAAATTAAATTAGTATTATCTTCTACTCTCCCAACGGAACCAAAAACAGAGCTTTCATAATAAGCAGAGTACATACCTAACACTCTCTAGCTCTTGTGGTTCAGCGTGCTGATAAAACCGAGTAGCCGGTGAAGTGTTCAAGTATAGATCTCCTACACAGATTGTAAAATAATTTGTTGGTGTACAATCATTGTATACATTTTATTTTAACATGAAACTATGCGTACCGGCAAACATCTTAGGATTAACTGCTGTTATGACAACATAACATTGTTTCCTCTGTGTCATTGAGAGGAACGATTGAAAATCAAAAGCAATGTTGTCCCAGATAGACAGATAGAGAGGCGAACTTTGGTTCCGCTGCTTGTGAGATTAAAAAGTCAGAGATAAGAGTAACTAATAATGGTAACAAAAACACTGTTAATATTATAAACTTACTCTTGAAGAACAATCTTTGCCATTATCTTATTTTTGGAATCTATGTAACGCAGTTGAGTCCCCCACACATCAGTTATTCTTCCAACAACATCTGAAACGAAATAATTACAGGGYAAAACAATCAMATTACGCTTGAATACATTTTTCTAACAAATTTTTTAAAAGAACGAACRTGGTAAGATTTGATTTTTGTTGGCCAACAAAACCAKCTTCTCATAATCATAGACTCTGAATTTAGTTCTTTCAATTGCAGACGCATCGTCCAAGACTTCAGAAGCAARAYTAAGATGAGTAAATTGCAAAGAATACTTGTGATATGAAAGTGTGAATAGCCCGTTATTCTCATCAATCACAAACTTGCTGATATGGTAGATAGATCCTTCTTTGAAGATGTTTTTGTAATAGCGGATGYGGCGATGATTAATTGAAGCCTTTATGAAACGCCCCTACACAAAGATAAAATCGAAACGTGAGGAAATGACGGAGTCAATAGAAAATAAACCTGATTGAAGTAAGTAGGCCTCTTACGGTCTCATCTAGAAATAGTAGTTCTTCGCTCAGCAAGTGGCTCCCTCTGCGTCGATTACGTMRCTCCCATTTCCGAATAAGCCGAACAACGATTGCTCGCTTCYTTGGATCTTTTTCAAGATCTCCAAAGTGTCGAGTAAGGTGTTTTGGAGTTCGTCATAGAGAACCTGTAAGATAATAATAATAAGTAGAATATAAGATAGAGTTTTGGAGAACATAACAGATATTTGAAAGGAGGTTGAATATTTCGAAGGAGAATGTACCCGGAATCGATCGGAAACTTTGTGAATCATTGTACTCGTGAACGATCCTTTTATAAACGAACCTTCCGGCGAAAATAGCGGAGATGCATTTGCATCTGTTTGAGCAACAGAGACGACGATTTGGAGGTGGCAATTCAAGCATAAGGTTTGTCGAAAAATCCTTCCTCAAATTTTTTTTTTTTAATTTGTTACCAAATTTTTGGGGCTATGATCGAAACCCAACTAGAAAAGCCTATAAGATTAACAATATGGATTTTGTTTTGGGCCAAAACGTGTGATTAAAAACACACAATTTGTGCAGCGTTTCTTTTACTCATGTTTGGTAACACGTGTCATCACCACAGAAAACGGAACCCAAGTTT